CGTTTGAATTTGCGCTTGTTTTTTTGCTTTCACTTTGCAATCGCGCGAACTGTGTATAGAGAGCGACAGCACTGATCTGTGAGTGATGATAATTTGTGCACCAATTCCTCTGACATCGTCTTATTAATTGTTAGCTTACTATGCAAACATGACAAGTGAAATCTCCCGCAGCAAGCTTAAACATGTGAGAGGTTGATCGCGCAGAGAATCGCTGAGCTTATGTGAGTGCGTGTGTAAAAGCAGCAGGATTTATATTTGACTACGATGACCTGGATGACTGAGAACCTTCACAGACAGATATATATTTTAGTTCTGCTGAGCCAAATAAGACAGGTCAGGGTGAAGAAGTGACAGCCAAAGAAAAGCTTACCACAAAACGGAGAAGTTATGACAAATCAGACTATAAGGCAAAAAGAAAGTGCAGCTTTATGGTTTCATGGACAAAAGAATTTCTGTGGCTGCAATATGACGAGCTAAATAACCAGGGCTGCACATAAGTGGTCCGCAGGTGCGTATTCGCTGTCAAAATAAAAAACACGCACAAGGGTTAGGGTTAAATTTAAAAACTGTACTTTTGAGTTAAAATATATATTTATAATTTTAATAAATGACAAATTAAAAAGGCATGAACATTTTTTTTGTATCGAAAAAATATCGAACCGTGACACCAAAGTATCGAACCGAACCGTGAATTTTGTGTATCGTTGCACCCCTAATATATATATGTGTGTGTATGTATGTATGTTAATATATATATATATATATATATATATATTATATATAATATAATATTCACATTGAACTACCAGAAGGCAACATTGCAGACATAGAGGACAGTTACAAGTACCTGGGGATCCCGCAGGCAAATGGGAACCATGAAGAGGCCGCTAGAAAGGCTGCAACCACCAAGTACCTGCAGAGGGTCAGGCAAGTCCTGAGGAGTCAGCTGAACGGTAAGAACAAGATCCGGGCCATCAACACCTACGCCCTGCCCGTGATCAGGTACCCTGCTGGGGTAATAGGCTGGCCAAAGGAGGAGATAGAAGCCACTGACATAAAGACAAGAAAGCTCCTTACCATGCATGGAGGGTTTCACCCCAAGTCCAGCACCCTGAGGCTGTACGCTAAGCGGAAGGAAGGGGGCCGGGGACTGGTGAGTGTCAGCACCACAGTCCAGGATGAGACAAGGAACATCCAAGAATACATTGGGAAGATGGCCCCAACTGACCGAGTGCTCAGTGAATACCTCAGGCAGCAGAAACCCAAGAAAGAGGAGGGAGACGAGGAACCATCATGGAAGGACAGGCCCCTGCACGGTATGTACCACCGGCAGATAGAGGAGGTGGCTGATATCCAGAAATCCTACCAGTGGCTGGACAAAGCTGGACTGAAAGACAGCACAGAGGCACTAATCATGGCAGCACAAGAACAAGCTCTGAGTACAAGATCCATAGAGGCTGGGGTCTATCACACCAGGCAAGACCCCAGGTGCAGGCTGTGTAAAGATGCCCCAGAGACAATCCAGCACATAACAGCAGGGTGCAAGATGCTAGCAGGCAAGGCATACATGGAATGCCATAACCAAGTGGCCGGCATAGTGTACAGGAACATCTGTGCCGAGTATAACCTGGAAGTCCCGAGGTCAAAATGGGAGATGCCCCCAAGGGTGGTGGAGAATGACCGAGCTAAGATCCTGTGGGACTTCCAGATACAGACGGACAAAATGGTGGTGGCTAACCAACCGGACATAGTGGTGGTAGACAAACAGAAGAAGACGGCCGTAGTGATCGATGTAGCGGTTCCGAATGACAGCAACATCAGGAAGAAGGAACACGAGAAGCTGGAGAAATACCAAGGGCTCAGAGAAGAGCTCGAGAGGATGTGGAGGGTGAAGGTAACGGTGGTCCCCGTGGTAATCGGAGCACTAGGTGCGGTGACTCCCAAGCTAGGCGAGTGGCTCCAGCAGATCCCGGGAACAACATCGGAGATCTCTGTCCAGAAGAGCGCAGTCCTGGGAACAGCTAAGATACTGCGCAGGACCCTCAAGCTCCCAGGCCTCTGGTAGAGGACCCGAGCTTGAAGGATAAACCGCCCGCAGGGTCAAGTGGGGAAATATTGTGTGTGTGTGGTGTGTGTGTGTGTGTGTGTGTGTGTGTGTGGTTGTGTGAGTGTTTGTGGTTTCTATTGCCAAAGCTAGGGCTGGGCGATATGGCCTAAAATTTATATCGCGATATAATTTGAAGCATGTGCGGTAACGATATATATCACGATATATTCTTTTCTTCTGTATAACGTATTTTCCACACTATAAGGCACACTTAAAATCCTTTAATTTTCTCAAAAATCGAGAGTGTGCCTTATGTATGAATTCTGGTTGTGCTTACTGACCTCGAACCGATTTGGGCGTGCAGAAATCTGTTAAAAAATGTTTTAGTACAACTTTGGTAAGCTGCACTGCTTGATGGATTGTCAGAGCATTACGGCTGCCGTAGTGAGGAGCTTCGCGGAGTAATCTGGGTCCAAAACTCCGTCCCTTCAGGTCCCAAAGTCAAACGAACACTAAGAGTTAAAAACGGTCTAAATTCTTTCATCTTTAATTAAATCATCAGCATTGCTGCTTTATCGGGTGTAACAATTAAGTTTTACATCCATGCATCCATGAAAACAGAATTTATTAAATTTAATGGAGTTAGAAGTTAAGCACAGGTATGTGCGTTATGCAGGACATCGTTGTTTTAACAACCCTGAAAATGGCAAAGAGACACGCTTACGAAGCACAGTTTAAACTGAAGGCCATCAGCTACGCGGAGGAACATGGAAATCGAGCAGCGGCGAGAGAATTTAAGATTAACGAATCGATGGTTCGCAAATGGAGGAAGCTGGAAAACAAGCTCCGGCAGGTCAAGAAAACGCAGCTGAGTTTCCGCGGACATAAGGCGAGGTGGCCGAGTTGGAGGAAAGACTCGAGCGGTGGATCATCGAGCAAAGAGCGAGCGGGAGAAGCGTTTCGACGGTCACCATTCGGCTAAAAGCAGTTTCACTTTCACTTTTTATGAAACGGTGCCATTTTTCCATCCGGACCAGGACTACGGTAGCGCAGCAACTTCCAGCGGATTATAAGGAAAAGCTGGCCATCTTCCGCTCCTACTGCAGCAAACACATCGGCGACAAACACATCCAGCGATGGATGACCGATGGAGACCACAGTTTCACCAAGAGTGGAAGGCAGCGCCGGGCGAGTTACGCCACAATTTGCCAATGGATTGTAGATGCTTGGGCTAACATGTCTGCTGGCACTGTTGTTCGAGCTTTCGCAAAAGCCGGCATCATTTCCGAGGAGCCGCACGGCACGGAAAGTGACTCTGACAGTGAAGAAAGTGAACCTGGCATGTTTGATGGAGATTTAGCGCAGCTGTTCAATTCAGACACAGAGGATGAGGACTTCGATGGGTTTGATTGATGATAAAAATGTGAGTACCAAACTTTGTTTTGCTCCTGCTTTATTTTTAAATACGCACACTTGTATGCTTGTGTGTTGTTGATGATGACGATTACCGGTAATAGAAATGTGAGTAAGGTACCGAACTCAGGTTTGCTCCCGCTTTATTTTTAAATACGCATACGGTACTTGTATGCGCCCTATGATCCAGTGCGCCTTATGTGTGTGTTAAATACAGTAATGGCACACATAACTGAGACTGCGCCTTTTAGTACAGTGCGTCTTATGGTCGTGAAAATACGGTATATAATGTTGTGCTACGTGATTGCTAGCGACACAGCTATGTTAGCATAACATTAGCACAGTGAAGCTGGAGGATGAACGCCAACTTTTTTCCACTCGATAAAAGTTAACGTGAGGGATTCTGGTGGTCAGGGACAAATGCAATCGCATAGCAGGATGCTATACACGGGCCAAACTTCAGTCAGGAGAACAACTGAGATTATTCATCCACAATACGAGGTTAGTTATTAATATACTGCAACAACATGGGAATAGAACAGCTGCGAGAGAATTCAACATTAATGAATCAATGTTACGGAAGTGGAGGAAGCGCAGTTTTTGGCTTTCCCCATATTTCAAAAGTGCTTCATCTCTTTGCTATGACTGTCGCCCGCCATAATTTGCAGATGATAATGGTTTTAGCCGCTGTAGGCGCAGCTTGATGACATCATCAACATGCGCTATCGCGATAGAGCGATATAGTCAAAATCTCTATCGTTGGCCAAATTTATATAGTTTCTATCGTATATCGTTTATATCGCCCACCCCTAATACACACACACACACACACACACACACACACACACACACACACACACACAGAGGGAAATAATATGAAAATGGATGTAGATGGATATGTAGATCACACTTCCTGTTGTACCTGTTCAAAAAGAAATCTGAACAGATACAACATAGGAAACAATGAATGAAAAATTAAATTCTACCAGTCAAAAACACAAACTACATTTGCTTTTGAATCTATAGCACAAGGATATTTGTGTGCAAAAATATTTTTTCTTTATTTAACTTTCTATTAAATGTTATATAATTATTGATTAGATTGAAATGGAGGGAAGGATATTTACTGCGAATGGTTTTGTTGTTTTGCAGTGCATCGTTTACTCTTAATAAATCTTAATGTCTTAAAAAATTCAAGTCATCTATTTTATATTAGTAAAATGTAATTTTTAATAAGTGTATGTCGAAATATTTTAGCATGAAAGCTATCAAGACAGTTTAAAGCTTTACAAGTCAAAGTTTTTGTGAAGAAACTGCCACCTCTTGGTAACACAGCAAATGAATAATAGAGGTGTTCCTATTCAGAAGCAGAAACATCACAGGAGAAGGAGAGATTCCTAGCAATTGATAACTGGATAGGAACTGACTGAGAGTTTTCTGTCAGTCAGCTGGGAACGGCAATTAAAATTGGCTGCATCTGTATTTCAGTTTTCAAACGAAGTCCAGTTTGGTTGCTCAATTATACTATGAAAATTCTTACCTCAGCAAGCTGGAAGAGAGCAGACTGTCTGCATAACTTTCCTTCAGGTGCTGCAGACAGCGATGACTGTGAACACACAGTAACAAGTGTGATCACACAGTTCAGCTTTCTGCTGATACCATTAATATTCAGCAACAACAACTACGAATAACAAATACAACTGTTGACAGTAAACCTAGAGCATTCGAAATAACAAGCATTGCTGGTGAGAATGCTCAGTTATCACCAGTTTGGTTTACTCTTCTTTGCAGAATTGTTTTAATGTCGTAGGGCCTGGCACCCACATATGGGCACATCACATTTTGGGTTGTCTAGACCACAATACTACATTTTGCTCTTTCAAATGGCTTTCAAATGAGCCATATTGCTCAAAGGGGCACAATTGTTGTTTCTCATTTTGTTTTTATACTCAGGAAAAATTCAGCTGTGTTCAGACACCAAATAAAGAGTTTTGCACATCATTATTCAATTGTGACTTTATAGTGTTCTATCAACAGTATAAAGCCCAAATAGCAAAGAGAAATTAAAAAGGAATGCCATGAAAGAGTTCGGGTCTTTGGAGGTTAATTCAGCTACATTGAAGGGTTTTCAAGCATAAGCATGAGACCAAAGCATGTAATCTGTGTCCAGACTTTGAGTCTAGGGCAATAAAAAAACATACATTTGTTTTTTGGAATTAATCACAAGTAATTAATTATGTAAATACTGGGGGCAATTTCTCAAAAAGCCAAATGCGTTTGATGAATTGACATGTGGCAACACTGTCAGGACTCCTGCCATGACACAAGAAGCACTGCAAAATAAAAGTGCTACATGTTTTCATTTTTTTCACATTATCGTAATCTCTGGAAAAATGATGACCTAAAATTTTTCAGTTGTGTGATTAATCAGTGGTATTGCTGGCTGGTTTTGAGTTCTAGGCCATGCAGAGCACTTTCTTGTGTTTTGGAGTAACTCCTCCCACATCTAATGACTTAGTTATGATGATAGGTACCTCTTTCATGAACTAAAATTTCAGCCTACCTCAGCCACTGGTGAAAGGGCTGACTGGACCCTGTTTTCAGAAATGTCAGGCACTCTGTTTGGTATTGTCCCAGAAAACATCTGTGCATCAAATAAAGAGGGTAAAAAACACATAAAACTAAATAACACATCAGCATTAAATGACTTTTCGAAAACTCAAACCCGAGACAGTTGTCGTTTTATTCAGATAAATTTAAAACTAAACAATGACGCAATTATATGTGAGCAACACTAATATGCCAGTACCCGAGTTGGTAAAGTAAGTTTTATTTTTTGACGAATGTATAAACTGCTATGCAAGTTAGTTCAAGTTCAAGTACAAAGTTTATTCGCCACATGCAACTTAATCTATATTAGTATGTACATTACTATTTGTTGACTTCCTTTTCTATTAATAATATAAATCAGCAAAGCAAATAATATTAACTAGATATTTAAATTAAATTCAGTAAATGGTTTCCTTCACTGACTGGGTCAGGTGCTTTCAAATATACACACACACACGCAGCATGGACACCTAGGTTGTCAATACAACAAGGAATGGTATGATTTTCAATCGGATATACATGGTACATGGTAACAATTTGAAAATCATACCATTCATCGTACTCGACTTGTATCAACATCCCAGGTGTCAATGCTGGGTGACAACAACACCTCATCAGCCTTTTATGGCTTTGGGGTAATGAAAAAAATATTAGTATTGAAGGCCCTCTACTGGAGAACTTGTGCATTATCACAGTGCACCTAAAATTATACTGCTTCACATTTCAAGTGGGAAGTCAGAAATCTCAGCTTCCATTTCGGAGTGCAAAGCCCCCTCAATTCAAATTTGACTTAAAGAAAAGGAAGAAAGGAAGAAAAGCCCCCATCATCACTCACTTCACATTATCAGTCGTAAAACTGAAACGTTTTTAAATCTGTATGACTACTGTTGTGTATTTGTGACAACCCTATCCATGAAAATGCTGAAGCAGTGTTTTTGGGCTGGCTTTGGGCTTTATTGCTAATGATAAATGAATGTCTCTGCCTTGCTTAAAGCAAAGATATCCTATTTTATTGCTTTTCCTAATGGAACACATTTAACTTGGAAGTGACATCACTGCCAGCTATGACATTTGACTTTTGGTAAATGGAGCACAGCATTAAGGCAATAATTTGTTGGAGAAAGACATTATTTGTTGTTTTGCTGTACACCACACAGTGAAATTTAAACCAAACAATGAAAATGTGATGAAGTGCAGATTTCCAGTTCTAATTCAGTTTTAAACTTTTAAAAAAGTTTGCATTAACCGTTTACGAATTCTAGTCATTTTTTAATAGTCCCACATTCTCAGAAGCTTGGAAATAATTGGACAACTGTCTGGCAAGCAGTTTCATAGCCAAGTGAGGGCTGTTCCCTTGTTATTTTATGACAAATGAAGCAGATATAATATTTGAAGCTCATTTAGGCTGCTACATTTATATTCTAGAGCTTTTTACCCTACTTTTAAATATGAACCGCAAATATATGTCAGTGCAAGTGAAGGAGGCCATCACTAGCTTGAAGAAGCAAAATAGACAGTGAAAAAGAGAGTGAAAAAGCTTAAGGAGTATCCAAAATCAACAATCTGGTACATACTTAAAAAGAATGAATGCACTGTCAGCAACACAACAAGGTCTGAAATACTACGGAAAACAAAGTGGATGATTGCAGAATTCTTTCCTTGGTTAAAAAAAAAAAAAAAACAGAAACAAAAGCAAAACAAAAAAAACCCAAAAAGCTTCATAACATCTAGCCAAATCAAGAACATTTAATGAGTGATCATTGTCAAAATCTACAACGCCGTGATGATTATAAATACAGTGGGGCAAACCACTGGTTATTGCCAAGAACAGGAAGGCTACAGAGAAAGAGAACCAGCTCATGATCCAAACCACAACATACCAAATCATTTGTCAAATATGGTGGTGGCAATAGTTATGGTACGTGCATGTATGGCTGTAAAACATGGGTGGGGGGACTCCAGGCCGTAAGAGCCGGTGCCCTGCAGGCTTTAGACGTGTCCTTGATCCAACACAGTTGATTTAAATGGCTAAATTACCTCCTCAACATGTCTTGAAGTTCTCCAGAGGCCTGGTAATGAACTAATCGTTTGATTCAGGCATGTTGATCCAGGGTGACATCTAAAACCTACAGGACACCAGTCCTTGAGGCCTGGAGCTCCCCACCCCTGCTGTAAAATCACTTCTTGATTATATGATTGCTGAAAGATGAAGCAGGATGAATTCCTTAGGGCAACTCTCTGCTGTCTTCCAAAAACGGATTGGACAGTGCTTTAAAAGGCAAATGAATAATGACCCAAAGCATACTACAAAAGTAACCCAAGGGTTTCTTAAGGAAAAAAATTGAATATTTTTCAATCTCCAAGTCAGTCAAGTAATTAGATTAGAGCATGTTTTTCCACGTGCTGAAGGCAGAAAGAACCACAAGCAAGCAGGAAATGTAGACGACTGTAGTAAAGGCCTGGAAGGGCATCTCAAGGGTTGAAATACAGCATTTGGTGATATCAATGGATTCTGGGCTTCGTTGACTACAAAGGATTAAAAACAATCCTTATATTTAAAATTATGCTAGTTTGCCCAAGTAATTTCAAGTCTCTGAAAATGGGGGACTAATTATAAACTGTCTGTTTTCTGAAGAGTTAAGGCCAAACACTCAAACAATTTCTTGAATTGAAAAGCACTTACATTGATTGTTTGATTTAAAATCCACTGTGGTGGTGGACAGAGGCAAAACTGCAAAAAGTATGTCGCTGTCCAACAAGTTATGGACCTAACAGTATCTGTGGCTTATAAAGTGACCTACCTCTCGGTTTGTGAGGGCATGTTCCCCAGCTAGCAGCAACATGCTCAGGCCCCCCATCTTTGTAGGATCTAGTGAGGAATAGCGTTCATTTACAAAACAGGCCAATATTTTATTATGCTACACTATAATAAATAATGTTTAATAATACACACCTGCCATGGCAAAGTTCAACTGTGGCATACTTTCCGTTTTGGGCACTTTTTTGGCAGTGGAGTCCTTGGATGAGTTGCAAGAAAAGGACCAAACTTTTTTGCGGGGATTGCTGACTGGCTGACAGGAAGTGCTCTTAACTGGTTTGCTGGTGGTGGGACACCACTTGTAGCCTGGGTTTGCCTTCATAAAGGCATCCTTGTACTGGAAGAACGTACAGAATGAATTTGGTTATAAGCAAACCCTATAAGCAATTTAATTTTTATTTAATTGATCATTTCATTTTTATACTTTAACAAAGTATTTCTATTTCACATTATAAACTGACAAGCAAAAAGGATGGGTAAAAAAAAAAAACACCTTTATTTTTTACAAGCACTTCTTTAAGTACTACTGGCCTAGGATAGAGTACCACAGGAATGAGTCTTAAAATTCAGAAATTAGTTTTCATTATTGTACTTTTAAATCAGAGGAAATTGCATTGAAGTTTTAGAATTCATTCAGAAGTGCACCACTTTGACCCTGCTGAACAAAACGTGGAAATATCATGAACTTCAGAGTCATAAAGTAGCCTCACCTCCTTGGCCATGTCAGTGTATTTCTGTTTCTCTTTGGGTTCCAGGACAGCCCACCAGTCAGCCAGGATTTTGGTGGCCCCGCGATTGTCCAAGCGAGGGTGTTCTTGCCGCACCAGGGAGCGGTGGCGTTTGCAAAAGAGCAGAAAGGCATTCATTGGCCGGCGTGCCCGCTGTTCGTTTGTGTCCTCCTCCACTTCCTCTGTTGTGACTTCACACTGTGAATGCTGTGTCTGGTTGAACAGCCCTGCCTGCTAATAAAAATTTAATAAATTCCTTTGATTCAATGTTGCACCATAGTTTCTGTCTGATTTATTTGTCATAATCTGAAATATTAGTTATTCAGTTGGGCAGAAGTTATTACAGGAACAACCTGTAGTGGAAACCCACTAACCTTCACCAGCTCCTCTTCATCTTCTTCCTCCTCCTCCTCAGAGAAATCAAGAGCCTTTTTGGAGAGAAGTGGGTGCCACTGTAGGCATTTGCGCTTGGGGCGTTTGCCAGTGACCTCCCCTGCAACAGGTGGCTCCTTGCTCCTTCCTCCACCCTTCATCGTACTACTGCACCTAAAGCAAAAGAAAAGAAAAAACACATCAGAATGGGCACTATAAGTTTGTACAAAACACACAGTGAAAGCATCAAGCATGGAATCTGTGATACTTGCTGACAAAATAGATTTTACTGGAGTGTTATAGTAATAAGATACTGTGAACAAGTAGGACAAAGGTTTACTTAAAGCTGGTGTCCCTGGGCATGCAGTGCCAAGAAATAGTATTTGCCCCCTTTCTTATTTCTTTGTTTTTTGGCTATGCTATACACTGCTACATCCAATGCTTTGCACTGTGCTTGGGGATGTTAAGCTGCTAAGCCATAGAAAACCATTTCATGAAGATCTCTATGCACTGTTCTTGAGCTGAAGGTCATATGAAGTTTGGAGGTCTGTAGTGAATGACTATGCAGAATGTTGTCAACCTATGTGTATGTGCCTCAGCCAGTGTTTGGTACTGTAATTAAATTACTTTTCCACTGAAAAAGCAGAGTAACTGATTATTGTTCGTTTTTTAATTACAGTTACTTACAATGTACTTGTGTTAAATTGTAAAATAATTGAACTCGCTGAATATCATTATTTAATTTCATTATTTTATCTTCTAAAGGTAAAAGTAAACTCTGCCGCTATAACATTGATGTAGTGCAGGTGCACGTCATTTCACGCCAGTTCACTGCATAGTTGTATCCTGAAGTGGAAGATGTCGGACTTGGCTGAAGCGAGTGGCTGTTTTATGAAATGGAAATATTCCCGTCACTTCACTTTTCTGAAACAAGCAGACAAGAACATTAAAGTAATATGTAAGCTATGTCCTGGGGAGAAAAAACTATCGGCCGCTGTCAATAGCATGAGTAATCTACTGAAGCACCTGACACGACGTGAACGTTTTCTACTTACTTAGATAAGTGTTATGCTGACGTGGAAATGGAGCTTAAAGGGACATTCGAGAGTTTGGAATATATTTCCACGACTGCTGACATTTGGACCAGTCATAACAAAAGTTTTCTCGGAATGACGGCATATTGGATTGATCCTTTTACTTTTGTACGAGGACATGCAGCGCTAGCATGTAAAAGAGTTAGAGGTAGACACACATATGATGTAATCGGCAATGAAATCAAGCAAGTACATTCGGCTTATGGACTGAACTCTAAAGTGACAGCCACCGTGACCGACAACGGGTCCAATTTTATCAAAGCTTTTAGAATGCTCCAAAAATCAGACTCTGATGAAGAATCCGAAGAAGATGAAGAGGTGACATTTACTGATGTTGAGCAGTCCCTCTCCACAGAATCTGAAGGACAGTTTTCTCTCCCTCCACACTTAAGGTGTGCATCACACACACTGAAGTTAATTTTTCATGATGTTGAGAAATGGCTTCAAGCAAATGAGGCAAAATTCATCTACAGAAGTGCAACTTCAAAGTGTTCTGCAATGTGGACAAAAGCAAACCATTCTTTTGTTGCTTCAGAATTAGTAGATAATTTTTTCAAGAAAAAACTCATAGTGCCCGTTTCAACACAATGGAATTCATTTCATGACGCCCTGTCCAGGATCACTGACATTCCCCTTGCTGACTTAAATACTGTCTGTGCTCAGTTTGGAATCAAATGCTTCACTGATCGGGAGTATCTGTTCCTAAAGGAGTATTGTATTGTGTTGAAGCCACTCACTGTTGCGCTAGACACATTGCAAGGAGAAGAGAACTGCTATTTTGGAATCCTTCTTCCAACTCTGGAAGTCAGTGGTTCGATCCCAGGCTGCTCCAGTCTGCATGCCAAATATCCTTGGGCAAGATACTAACCCCATGTTGCTCTCCGATGCATCCATCGGAGTGTGAATGTGTATCAATGTAAGATAATTAGCACTTAAGCTTAGAAGTGCTTGTGTGAATGGGCGTGATTGGGTGAATGAATTAGCTGTATAAAGCGCTTTGAGTGCTCGGACAGAGTAGAAAAGCGCTACATAAGAACCACTCCATTTACCATAAACTGGAGCTACTCGCCCAGTTTAAGGTGTCCCTTTCCCAAGCGCTCAAATTACCACTAGTCCCCGCTGTTGCCTTCATCCTACACATCTCTTAACTCCTCTTTTAGCCATTGGCTTTTTGAAGCTTCTTGTGTTCCTTAGCTAACTGGCACAGATGTTTCTGTATACTATGCCACCTAATTGGTTATGGCATTCCATGTATGCACTCTCTGCTAGCATCTTGAACCCTACTATCTGAGGTCTGGTGTAGCAACATCTATGTATCTTGTGCTTAGAAGCTGTTCCTGTGCTGCCACTATTACTGCCTCTGTGTTGTCTTTCAGTCTATTTAGTGGTTGTGGCTAGCAGCCTCTCCATAACGTCCATTTGCCTGTGGGACTACAAGGTACTTGTAGCTGACTTGAATTTCTATAATCTTCCCTTTCTGCAACCCCCTCAGTTCTGACTACTCTCTTTGTTACCATCCAACTAAACTTCTCCATTTCGAATGGTATTCCAATGTCAGTGTCGTTGCTGTAGATCCTGGTGGTTTGGATCAGTGTATTGATGTTTCATTCACTCTCGGCATACAGCTTGATGTCATCCATGTAAAGAAGGTGCCTGATAATTGCTCCATTCCATAGTTGGTACCCGTAACCAGTCTTGTCAATGACCTAAGTAAGGGGGGTTCAAGCCTAACCTTTGCTGCTCCTGTTTTTCCATCAGTCTCTCCAGTACTTGAGGCTGATCCACTATCCCATAATGTTGTCTTCTTCTGTAAATTTATTTTTATGAATGATAATGGTAAGCGCTAAGCTTCCTGACAAACACATTACCTTTCTTGCAAGTAATAAAAGTAATAATAAAACTATATATTTGTATCAGTGAGATGAGTCACACATGTCTGAGCTCATCTAGTCTTGTTTCTTTCGTCTAAGAAATACTGTAAAAATCAAACCTTTACTGTTATCCAAGTATTTAGATGCCAAGAGCAGGAATGACGGCTGAACACTGAGAGTCCAATGATAAAGGGGACTGATAGTGAGTTTAGCACTGTGATATGTCCAGCATGTTACATATATTATTAAAGATTTCCGTATTATGAATCTGGGTCTTCATAAGGTCATAATAGAGACCCCACAGCACATTTCTTTTTCTTGTTGTTCAATTAAAATTAAGGGTTCGCTGTATGGCTGATGTTCTGGACAGCTGTAATATTTATTTAATGTTCACATATTTAGGTTCCTGGAGTGGACTGTTTATACTGGGGTCTACTGCCTAAAGAAGAATCAAACAGTCGTAGCATGGGTAGTGGCAGGATAGACGTTTTTTCATTTAGTGTAAATGGTCTGTTGAACCAGATAAAAAGTAGTAAAATTTAAGAAAAATGAGGAAAGAAAAAGCACATATACACTCAACAAAAATATAAACGCAACACCTTTGTTACTGCTCCCATTCCCCATGGGATGGACGTAGAGACCTAAAATTCATTCCAGATACACAATATAACCATCCCTCCCAAACAGGGAAGTCAATGTCTGTCCTGTTTGTAGCAACCAAAAATACATAATTATAATAAAGGTCAATCAAATGGACCAATATGGCAAGGCCATGATGATCCACTTGGTAAAATAAATCCGCTTGGCATCTTTCTTGGCCTTAAGACAACAATTCTGATGGCTAAAGATCCAAACGGGACACAAAAAAAAAAAAAAAAAAAAAAAAAATACCACGTGATAAGTGAATTGTAATCCAAGCAGTATTAATACGAAACTGGACTACTGGGAACTGGTTCTCTACCTGCAGTTCAAAAAAGCGCCCCTCCGACAGCCAAACCCATCTGTTCTCTGATTGGATTGTTTAATTTGTGATTGACATGACATTGACCAATCAGCTTAAAGGAAGAAAAATAGGGTCAAAATTCGTACTTGTAACTTGCAGGGTTTTTTTTTCTAAGTCCACACACAAATCTTTTTTACACATACACAAATTTTACACATACAAATCTTTTTTACACACACACAAATTTACACACACAAATTCTTTTTACACATACAAATCCTGATTTACAAGTACAAAATATTTATGACCACAATTTGAGCCCATAGGATACAGCCGTTGTCAGAGACATTTTATGTTTTTAGTGCTATTGTAACTTGTCAGCACAAGAGGGAGTAGTAACGCTACTTGTACCTGACTCCACACCCATTTAATCCAGGTTCAATGGTGCTCAAATGTGATGAGATGGAACAGAGGCAAACAGTTTTTTGACCGTGTATTATCATGTAAGGTTGTGTTGGATCCTCTTGGCATATGAAAAATTGAAATAGAAGCAACTGTTTTATGGACATTGTCAAAATTAGAAGAATAAATGATGCATCATTTTATTTCAAAGAAATGGTTAATGGATACTTATTTTTGTGTGTCACAACAACTGTCATTTCATTATCTGTGGTGGTTGATCTTTCATTGGGTCTGGTCCTACATAAGCCAAAAACTTCCTCTTTGGAGAGTTTTGGAACAAAAGAGACTGCGCTGAATTGTGATGCTGTTACTGTTGTCCTCCACCTGCTGCGCACCAGGGCTGTTGGAGCTACGTGTCATGGAGGTCAACTGGACATCATGGCATCTATGATGGCCAGTGCAAAAGTATGTATATTGCTACAAAACCAGGGAATGGCCATTCATGTTTAAAGTGTGCACACATACCTTAGCATGCAAAAGAGCAATGCATTGGCTACCGACTGAGTGACTCTTAATCTTGAAGGCAAACAGATTAACAAAGGTCTGATTGTTTAAAAACCATAGAAAAAGACTGATTCTGATCCAGAACCTTTGCCTGTGCCTGATACTGAACCCAAGGCTGGATCTTCTGATCTAGTGCCTACTGTTTTAATGACTGAGAAAAGACTCATGGAAAAAACTGCTGATTTGCAAAATGAAAGAAAGATTAAATTCCAGAAGGCTTGATGAATGAAATTTCTTTTGTTAAAGAGGTAAAAGTTACACTTGAAAAATATATTTTTGTTGATGATCCTAAAACCCAACATGAAGTGTTGATGACTTATTTGCCAAAGGATGAGTCTGAAAGACAAGAAATGTGGTTCAAGATAAAAATGCTTAGTGATTGACTGAAAAGGAAAGGTGTTCAAACAAATAAAAGTGGTCTTGAAAATGAACAAGTGTGTTTGTAATGTGGGGTGTAAAGGATCAGGCAAAAGCAATAGGCCCTCCACAAGGTCTGCAGTGCTCCAAGGCAGTAATGGTTGCAGTTATTGCTCATGCAGCTGCATTAAAGGAAAAGCTTGCATTGTAAAAAAAAAAAACATGTTGATCAACTGAGATGGCAAATGGAGAACCTTTAAACTGAAGTTGAAATTGTAGCATCCACAGCTACATTTGGAGTATTTAATGCTTCAGATTACAGCAGCATTTTTTTTTTAAAACTTGTCATTCCAATGCAGGGGTCTCAAACCCACTGATGGGACTGTCATCTCATGTGAGGGCTACTTTAGGGCTCAAGTTGTACAAAAAACAAACAAGAAAACACTCACAAATATTTCGAAAAGTGTAGTTTTTTCAAATTTTATTTTTCATTTCAAATATTGTGTAACAAAAAAACCCTGCAAACGTGAACGCGTTTTTTTCCCCCCTCACTGTTAACTAACTGAAGCCTTTCATTTAACTACCAAATAAACATTGGTATACATGTGATAGCACTTGTGCTATAATTTTGTTCATATTGAACAAAATAAAGATTTAGACATGAGTGTACTGATACATTTTTGACTCTCTCACTGAACTAACACAGCCACTCTCTGCTCATACTGCCTTCATATTATATACGTTTTTGCTTTTTAAAGAACTTATTTTAAAATTGCACTCAACAACAGACAAATCCTCCCTAACAAAAAAAAAAGTAACTTCAAGGGCCAAATTTCAAATATATGTGACCACCATGAAAACATCTGTGGCTGTAAGGAAGAGGACTCCCTTACTGCATTTATTTATATTGTATTGTCTGTATAGCACTTTAGAGCACACCTTTCACTTTATTAAAAGCACCTTATCAAGCACTTTATGAGCATTGCACTTTAAGCATGGATTTGCACACAAGAAGTTTAAATATTTATTGACTATTTATTGGGAATTTTAAAATCAGTTGGTAGCCTTATTTCAGATCCTGCACAGCTGCTCCTCATCAAGGAATGTGGTGGTTGTCTGTCAGGAGAGAAGAATGGTGATTGAGATTGTGATTAAGGTTTACCAGTAAGGAAAACTAATGCAAATGTGTGTGTGAAATCTAGGGATAAAAGTGGTGCAAATAAGTGTTTGTAAGATAATGATTACTCACCTTTCTTGCCTGTGTCCTCTTCAAGGTGTTTGGGCAAATGTTTCCCCGGGGGTCCAGACACCATTTAAAGGTTCCGGGAGAGACCATTGGTAAAGAGAGTGTGGTGAATCTTTTTGTGCTTGGGTTTCTGGGTTTTTATAATATTGGGTTTGGTGTAACATTAAAGTGTGAAATATTTATTAATATGTAAATGTGAAAATGTATTTATTTATTCTTATTGATATATTGTATACTGTGGTGGAAGGTTGGGATTTAAGAATTTACCTGAGAGTGGAATAATGGTTAGTCTGTGACAGCTGAACATATTTAAGGCTGCCAGTTGTCATTAGAGGTGGATTTTTGTGCTGTGAAGAAGCTCGACAAGTTAATTGTTGTAAGGAGAGCCGTATAGCGAATAAATACTTTGTTCCACTACACTTGCCTTGGTCTGTCTCACTGTGTTTCCAGCCGCTAAGGGCTGCCCTGTTACAAGTGGTGTCAGGAGTGTGTCACTCATGCCACAGTGAGAAGATGATGACAAGAGGTGGAAGAAAGCCAGGCCAAGAGGAGCAGCCTGATGAAGGAGTTGGAGCTTCATCTGAGCTAGAGGCCATGGCAGCAACAAGCCCTGAGGACAAATTGGAGGAGTTAACAGGGTTGGTGAAATCTCTTATGCGGTCTCAAGCAGCCAGAGACCAAAAGTGGGAGAAGGATTTGTCACGTCAGGAGCAAAGGTGGAAAGGCATGCAGCATCAATTTCAGCAAATCCAGCTACAAGTTAATGCTGTAATATAAGCCTGATCCACCAGAGGCGCCAGCGCCCCCTACAACATCTGAAGAACAAGAACTTGGATTCAATGGTGAAGACATTCCAGTGGCCAGTGGGTCCAGGTCTTTAATTGAACCAAAACTTTTTCCTCTGTCACCAGAAGATGACATTGAACATTTTCTGACTACGTTTGAAAGAATGGCAAACGTGTGTCGATGGCCCAGAGATGAGTGGGCTATTCGTCTGGTTCCCCTGTTGACAGGTAAAGCCCGCACAGCCTACATTCTTATGGATTTAACAGACTCTGAGAATTATGATAAGGTGAAAGAGGCAATTCTGGCAAAATATGAGATCACTGCTGACACCTACAGACGCCGCTTCAGATCTCTGAAAGTTGAGCCAGGTGAGACGCCACGTGAACTTTATGTAAGATTGAAAGACCTGTTTTCAAGATGGATTAAACCTGAAAAATCAACTGTAGAAGAAATATCTGAGCAGATAATTCTGGAGCAGTTTTTGAGAATGGTTAACCCAGAGCTGGAGATTTGGATACGTGAGCATGACCCGAAGACGGCAAAGGAAGCAGCTAGCCTCGCAGAGGTTTTCACTTCAGCCAGAAAAGGAAGCAAGAGCACCTACTTCAGCCGGGAGACCCACTACGCCCAACCAAGTAAGTCCATTGGGGGTGAACAGTAGTGATGGGCAGATGAAGCTTCATGAAGCACTGAAAGCTTTTCATCCAATTGGTTCATCCCAGTGCAAAGCTTCTTGAAGCTTCATTTGCTCTAGTAGGACACCTACTGGACGTAAAAATAATAGCTGGCATGAATTTGAAGAGTTTGGCCTTTTGCACACAGCCTGTAAATGTCAACAACAAAAGGAGTGTGTAAAACATGTATATTGTAGTGATGGCAGTATACTGTGTATATTTATACTGGCAGTATGGAAAATGATTATTTGGAAATGCTTAAAATGGAAATGATCATTTACTGTGAGGTGAGGTGTGGTTGGGGTGTGGACAGTAGTTGTGCTTTTGTAACGTTGAGGTATGGACAGCTACACAGTCCTGCCTGTTCACATTTTATTCTGTAAAAACTAAATTTTCACTGCTTTTATGACCTTTTTAGTGGGGAGAACATAGCTAGGATTTAATGATTTAACAAATCTTTTGAATCCTTTGTCCTCCACAATGCTAAATGGCTGGGAGTCCTCAATCACCATGCTAACCAGGTCTTCATCTATTTGAGATTGTTCTCCTGAGGAAAGACAATAAAGACAAAGCACAAATATAAATATCACACACGTAACAGTTGTATAATATTGTTATTAGAGATGG